AGTGGACGAATAGTAGAAAGATGACATTGGGAGATTTCTATTAAGACAATGTTTCAAGGGCCACTGTTGTCCTCTGGTGTGGGTAAATAACAAGAGAGAGACTATAGCAAGTGTGAACAATATCACTGAGAATCCAACCTACTTTTTTTTTTCCTCTCTTATAAACTTTTATCTTTTAATGTGGAGTTGGCATCGTATGTATAGTTACTTCTTGCAAATATTTCGAAAAACCACGAGAAAAAAATTATTAAAACTTCGACATCAAGTATTTTAGTGTCAAATTCTCTCTCTCTCTCTCTCTCTCTCTCTCTCTCTCTCTCTCTCTCTTTTACGACCTAAAGATTTACTCATTAAGAATCGACAAATATTTAACCAACTGTAATAAATGGTAAATTATTTTGTTGTTATGACGGTGTATGAGTGAGACACGTGACAGTCAGTCCACGTCTCTTATGGCTTACTGTTTTTCTTATATTTAGATCCACCAATAGTAAAAATACATAAAGGGAGATTAATCTTCTTATTGGTTGATGTGTCGTATGTGATCTCACGGTCAAGACGCTACGACTGACTGACTCCGTAATCGTTGAGGGCCTGTATGACGTCATAACATGAACAACAACGAAATGAAAATTCACAAAAGATAATTAGTGTTTTATTGGAGTTATAAAAAATAGTAATATATCACCCCCTCCTCCCACACACACACACTTCTTAAATTCTGTATATTATTTTACGGTTAGGTTAGTTTTTTTCCAATGGTGATTTCTAACCCGGTACAGATAACAGTACAACAAAAACAAGTGAAGTACGTACATTGTTTGTTGTAATTTATTTATTTTATCTTTGTTTTTCTTTGTTTACGTGTGAATTCGTCAACAAGGAACTATACACATCCAGGGGCCATTGGGGAGAGTGAGCCTCTACACCCAGACCACGACGGATGACAACCCAAGGAGAAGGGTGCATGGAAGAGGAGGAGGAGGGGTTGTGAGGATGAGGCTGTGTGAAGGAAGACGAAGAGGAAGATGCTGTGTGGAAGAGGAGGAGGAAGATGCTGTGTGGAAGAGGAGGAGAAAGAGGCTGTGTGGAAGAGGAAGAGGCTGTGTGGAAGAGGAAGAGGCTGTGTGGAAGAGGATGAGGCTGTGTGAAGGAAGACGAAGAGGAAGAGGCTGTGTGGAAGAGGAGGAGGCTGTGTGGAAGAGGAGGAGGAAGAGGCTGTGTGGAAGAGGAGGAGGAACAGTCTGTATGGAAGAAGAAGGGGAAGAGGCTGTGTGGAGGAGGAGGAGGAGGAGGAACTCACAATGTTAGGATGGTGGAGGAAGTTAGGTCCCTTTTATGATAGTTAACAACAGTAATACAACTAATAACTACGGTATTACACAATGATAGTAACTATAACAATACAAACAGCACTTACAGGTAGCATCTACGGGCAGCTCCTACAGGCAACTCCTTTGCGTAGCCTCTACAGTCACCACAGGAAGTACATACAGGCATCATTATTCTTAATCAGTGCCACCTTCAAGCATTTACTACGGGCAGTAAACCCAAAGGCAACTTCTACAGTCATTACTACCTACAGGAAGTTATTGCAGACAATATCACCTACAACTAGTACTTGCAGGCACCTTCTACAGGCATTACCTATAGACAACACTTTCTGGCAGCACCTTAGGTCAGCACTTAGAGCCAACACCTACAGGCAGAACCTACAAGCAGCACCTACAGGCAGAACCTACAGGCAGAACTTACAAGCAGTACCTACAGGTAGTAACTATAGCCAACGCCTACAAGCAGTTTCTACAGGCAACACCTACAGGCAACACCTACACCGTGAAGAGTTCGGTTTTCTGGTCATATCTGGAAAGGGAAAACTGAGCCCGTCACAGAATTTTCCCGAAATAAGAATTGGGGAAAATTGGGAGAGTTTTGTGGATGATGGTAAAGAGGGATGCTGGAATGGTGGGATGGATGGAAAAATGGATACTAAGATGGGAGAGGGGTGCTGAGGTGCTGGGATGGTGCGAAGGATGCTGGGGTGCTGATATTAAGTCGAAATAATAAGTACCACCATACGTGTCTGTACAAGGTTGAATTAGAGGCCGCTAAAAGAAGTAGACGACATTGTTATTATTAAGTAGGCACGGTGTAGCCTAACGCGGGAACAGCCACCAGTCGCAAGTCACAACGGGACAAAACAACGTTGGAATGTTTATATGAATAGCCAAATAGATCTCTAATTATTTTCTTTATCAAATTAATACAAAGCTTCAGGATCAGATAACAAAAAAGATATAATAAGACTGTATTGTACTTGATAAATAATACGAATTGCTGTATTTTTTTGTAGTAGTGTAAATGGTTTGTGTGTTAATTTGATGTGAGAGATCTTTAATGTCGATTAGTGAAGTTTCTTGTCTATACGGGAGAACAAATCGACGCGTTGATCATATTATGTGTTTTGGTGCGGTTGTGTCTTATCCTTTATCATTATATCTCTCTATCTCATTACCGCCGTCACAGAGTTTTGTTGAGTCTGTTTCTCTGTTTTGAGTGTACAGTGGGAACGCTCGCCTGATATGCTGTACGGCTGGTGTTGTGTTATTGATGTTTGTTGTGGTGAAAGTTTTTGGTGAGAGAACTGGAGCCGTGTGTTATTGAAAGAGGTGATGGTAGATAGTGAAGGAAATGAAGGTAGACGAAGTGAAGGAAATGAAAGGAGACTTAAGTGAAGGAAATGAAGGTAGATGAAGTAAAGGAAATGAAAGCAGACGAAGAATTAGAAAGCAATCAAATTACCTCCTCAAAATTATAAATTCAAAACCACACCCTCGCCTGCCTAGACAAAGACTCTTCTGCTGTAGTTACTCCCTCCTTCCACCACTCTCAAGGCGTTGTTTATACATTACAAACAAAAAATGACCACTGATTATTTTTCATAGCATAATTGACCACAAACTATAACTAGGTGACCAAGGCTATTAGCATTTGAATTTAGAGAGACAAAATAGCCGTAAATAGTCAAATATTCCAACTAAAGGAACAATAACGTGGTGATTTAATAAGGCATAAATTAATGAGATAAAGAAAGTTATTTACCTGTATTTACCTGTGTTTACCTGTCATCTCTAGAGTACTCACAGGTATGGCATCAAAACACAATATCAAAAACTTTAAATTCTTGACATTATCATTAAACTCAGGTGACAATTTTTTTTTTCTTATATGAGATCCTCAGCACTTGACCTCACACCTGACACGAGTTACCTGGCGACCAGTTTAGCCTGAGTGATTAACAAGGACATAAACAGAATGCCTCCAGAACCTCGTAAAGTAAAGTAAAAGGATTAATATTGACTCCACGATGATCAAGATAAACAAAGATAACATAGAGATTTCTGAAGACATTAAGGTGCATTTTTTTATAAGGTGTAATAGGTTGACCTGAAGGTGTTTACAAGGCTGTTACCTCTATGGTCAGTCAATTGGGGGGGGGGGGAGGTCATTACGTTACTCACACTTACCATAATTCTCACGCGAACTTTGACCTAAGAGATGAAAATATTACCATAAAATAATAAATACCTTTGATCTTACTCATCATACATACCGTTCATATCATACAAACCATTCATACTTATCATACTGCCAATCATCCTGTTGTGACGTCATCTCTACAGAACAGTGACGTCATCAAGACACATTACGTTCATCAGAGAAAAAAATGCTACAGTTTTCACGTTGGTCTGGGCATTATTGTGAACTTACCCGTACTGAACTGTGTAGTGTGGAGAAGTCGATGTGTCCCTACTGTTGGTATTATGTACTTGTTAAACTACCCAGAGTATTGTTATTGTTATTGTTGTTGTTGTTGTTGTTGTTGTTGTTGTTGCATATAAGAACATTTTAGATATAGTAGTGCCCAAAGCAACCAAGCATAGGATACACAAACACACAAACACACAAACGAGTATACACATAAAATCACAAAGACAATGACATACACATGATTTTTATAACCATACATGTCTATACCATATTTATCTTTGAGAAATACACACACACACACACACACACAAGGAGGAATCATGTATGTATGACTTGTAAACGTACACAGAGTTCCCATTACACGTATTTAGTATAAATATGTACATGAAGTCTTAGCATATATATGTACACGTAAGTATACACGACAAACGTACACATATATTAGCCACAGGTATACACAGGAGATAAAATGTACACATGACAGCCGAATAAGTATACGTACACATAAAGTATTCATGTGGTTATTGCAGTCAGGCATGTACACATCAAAAGTACATGTACACACTACATATACAAATATACAACGAATACACACATATATACACATGATACATATACACACACATGTACACATAATATACAAAATACACACAACACAAAACACACACACACACACACACACACACACGTAAATTACTTGTCATACGTGAGGGCGCCCGAACACTTAAATGCTCATAACAGTTTAGGACATACACACACATGTACACATCAGTCGCTTACGTGTACACAACAGAACAAAATACACACAGTACATATTAACCTACACCAATAGCCATACACATACACACCCATATATACACATGAACTATACACGTGCACCCGAATAACACACACACACACACACACACACACACACACATACAGTATAGCCACTGACATGTACACAACTGACACAAACCTACACGTGACAAAACATGTGTACACTACTTCAACATAGGTACACGTGAGAACCATAAATGTACACACAAGAACCTAACTGGTGCACACACGAGAATCACATTGGTGTATATATATATATGAGAGGCACACACGTGTACATACAAAAACTACACTCATGTACACACTAGTCAGGTGAGCCCGCTGTAGGAATACACACTAGAGCCACACAGGTGTACACACAAGAGTCAGACTGGTGTACACGAGGACCAGACACGTGTACAACCACTAACCTTTACCATCGTCAGGTTGGTGTTGGAGGTGACGGTCAGGAGAAGGAAGACCTCGGCCAAGGGTGGGTCCTCCGGGGCGCATCGACCCCAACATGGAGGTCTGTAGATTGAGGCCCCACGGGTACATGCCCATGCCCCCGCCCATCATCTTCAGGGCGTGAGGCATGGGTGGGGTGAGGGTGAAGGGGGGCACGCCCATGGGTAAAGGGACAGGTCTGGCCAGCTGCGACAGCACGTGGACGGGGTGCAGGTAACCGAGTCCTGGCAGGTGGAGCTCCCCCCTCAAGCCTCGGGGCTCACCCATCACGCCCACGTCCACGCCCGCGTCTCAGGCTCTTGATCCACGCCCGTGCCGTAGCCACGCCCACCTCACCTTTCGTATACGCCCGTGCACCTCAATGTCTGGGTCCACGCCCAAGCCTCAGCTTCAACGTCTATTGTCTTTTGATACACGCCCACCACCTCCTTCACGCCCGTACCTCGGCCTCTTGCTCCACACCCACAGGACACACCACGGCTGTTACCGCGGGCGTGACGCGGAGTTCAAGTCGAAAAGTTCTCACAACGCCAACGTGAACGGCGTCGTGCGGCGGTGGTGCTTAATCCACTCCACGCCAGGCACCGCTCACACCACGCGGCGCAGAGCTCGCTTAAGTCAGTCCACGCCACACCACGCCCACCTCCACGCCGGGTAGTTGAGGTCTCCCAACACCGTCCAAACACAAACCTCACTAAAACCTCCTCACACTGTCATGTCCGTCTAAGTGAGACTCGCCCGCAGGTGGCCGCGTCCAGGTTATATCACCAAGGCAACAAAACTTGTCAACACTTGCGAAAAGAAACTTTGAAAAAATATTTAGATCGTCCAGGTGAAGCGAAATAAACCAACTTGTATTGGTTGAAGGAGTTCGCTGGCTGCCTCGTCTGTGCCACTTTCGGGAAACACTCTAAATAGCTGTTAACATTCGGAGGTGGCGTGAGGGGAGGACGCGGGGGGTGCTGTGAGGAGGAGGAGGAGGAGGCATGGAGGCCCCGCGGACGATCATAAACTCTGGCGCGCCGTTGTCGTGTCAAACCATCTGGCGCGCCCCTCGCCGCTCGCTCCAGGTGCTAGCGCCGACAGGGATCATGTGAGAATGAAATATAACAAGAATCATCCATGCCTCTTGTTACAATCATAACAGGGTGTCAGTGAGCAGCCGAGATCACACGCTAGCTCCGCCCACTTCCCCCCAGCCAGCCACTCACCACTCGCCCTCCCAGTCTCGTCGACCAATCACGCCTGAGGGGAAGGGCCTAATCGATTTCTCCCTTTTATCATGGTGAGAACAAGTTACACATGATTGGAAAATGCTTAACGCCTTAACGCTCCACCATTGTTTATAAAACCCACGAACCCAAACACCGTATTTACAATCCCCCCTTTGACGGTAATTAAATCAAGATCAAGACATAAAATAGCGTAGTATCCCCTCTCCTACCTCAGCCTCCAGCCACGAAAAACACGCACATTGGAAACATACATTGGGAATTGAGGTTCCTCTCTCCACCCACCCACACCGGGGCCTGGTGGTGGCGGGGAGTATTGGTGTTAGGCGAAGAGATTGGTTATGCATGTATTATCTCACCATTAGCCAACCAGATAGGCTAGAGAGGAGGACGAGGTGGTAGTAGTGGGGAGGAGGAGGAAGTAGGGAGGAACTTTGGAGGAAGAGGAGAAGAAGGGAGTAGGGAGGAAGTAGGAAAGGAGACGAGGAGGAGTTAAACGAAGGAGGAAGGAAGGAAGGATGAGGGAGGGGGGACTAGGGAGGTACAGTGCAGGAGAGGAGAAGTGTGGAACCAAGAAAGACAAAGTGTGGGGAGTAAGAGAAGGAGAAGAGAACAAGGGGGATAAGGAGGAAAGGGAGGATTGGTGGAGCCTAAAGGAACATCACTAGATAAGGAACACCACCAATAGATAAGGAACATCACCTCTATAGATAAGGAGGAAGAAATGGATATCTTTACATGTACAGAGAAAGATTACCGAGAGAGAGAGAGAGATAGAGAGAGAGAGAAAGGGAGAGGTGTGAGAGAGGGGGTGTGTGTGTGTGTGTGACCGGAATAAAACATCAAAAGAGATACACACAAAATCAAATACAATGTTATACCACCATCACCCCCTCCCACCACGTCGGTTGTTTGGGTCAGGTCTTGGGCAACATACCGTAAAATAAGAGATCTTTTAATTTCTTATACACTCGAGGCCTCCAAGTTGTGTGTGTGTGTGTGTGTGTGTGTGTGTGTGTGTGTGTGTGTGTGTGTGTGTGTGTGTGTGTGTGTGTGTGTGTGTGTCTGTCTTATAAATCGTAAACTCCTTTAATATTCTTTCTAATTGGATTCCCCTCCTCTCTCTCTCCTACACCACCACACCAGAGACGTGACTGAAGCAAAACCCCCCAAAGTATATTTTCAACATTTTCAACACGATCTTCCATCAGTAAATCACTGAAGACGGAAACAAATTAACAAAAAATATTATACTTCACTAAAAACAAAATATCTAGTGTTAATAAAAGAATATATATTGAATTCTCTCTTTTGACTGACGCAAGATCGCATCAAATTGGCTTCTTTTTTTACCGTAATATATGAAAATAAGACTCAATATGGCGTTAGTATGAGACTGAGACTTTACCTTGACTAAAATTAATTATCTTGTGGGTTAAGTGACAAAATTTAAACAGGTAGAATCGTATTTAAATGGACTTTGTATAATATTCATAAGGATGGTTTAGTTTAATGTCCAATTTCCTCGAACCTGTGTCCTTAGGTATATGAAGATTCAGTGCCTCTACCGCTCAGCCACCGAGGAGGAGGTGACGTATAGAATAAAGCTCCATCCAGGTATAGATCACGACCTCACCTGTCTAAGCTAATTATACCTGCCGCGGGGTCCCACCATATATCGACCTCAATATAAACAAAAGGAATGAATTCTGTCAGGTATGTCAGTCATGGTGTCACATCCAAGACCTATACACACACACAGAGCACCCCGTCACCAGGTCCCTATCCTACACCGTCAAGCGCCCTCTTTGGTAGCGTCCTTATGAGAGCCTGATAGAAGGATCAAGACGCCTTAGCTCCTGTAGTGTAGGTGGGTTACGTCCCCGTGGTGGTGGAGGGTAAGTAGGGGTCAGACTGATTGGGTAATATCGGGCGACGAGATAGACAGAGCGTGCTATTTGTGGCGCGATTGTTAGAGCGATTAATCCGACGAGTCACTGGCTCACACTGGCTCATTATCGATTGTTCCCTGGACTAGCGCCTCCTCCAAGATGTCAGGGGCGTCCTAGTACACTCGGAGGATCAGGGGAGCCCATAGGTGGGTGTTTTAGGAGCCTTAGATGGGTGTTTAGGGGCTCGAGAGATCAAGTTTAAAACCCACAGAGGAGTGATTTGATAGACTGGAGGGAAGAGACCATGCAGGGTGACCAGGAGGAGGCCTCACAAGACGCCATAAAGTTCCACGATTGACCAATTGTATTGGTGGTGGTGACGAAGGCGCTGAAGGACGCACGGGGTAGAGTATCTAACCGAGATCACCTGAAGATTATCACCCTCAGCTTTATTCTGCTTGATGATGAAATTCTCTAATACAAATGAATATAAACCAAACTAAAAACAAAATATCAAAAGGATTAGAATCAATAGACAATTAAATTCCACTATAAAATTTCGTATCGTATTTCTTTTGTTTTCAAGGATCCTTAATGTAAAACAAAAATAATAATAATAATAATAATGAAAGTGTTATAGGGACGCCACACAGCAAGGAGGAGGATGAGTAGATTATGAAGTTACTGACACGAGCTGAGAGAAGTGAATCATGTCCGGTATATCTCACCTGGCGCCAGTTACCTCCAATTAGGTGCTTCAGGTGAGGAGAATTAGGCCATAACTGACACTTGAGTGATTCACCTTATGGTTTATAAAATTGGTACTTGAGGGAACAGCGTTAAAGTGTTTAATCTTGGACGATGGCGAGGCTGGCGAGGTCCTCTGCTGGCGATGGTGGCGAGAGTGACTGGGATACTGGTGAGGCTACAGAGATTGGCGAGGGTAACTTAGGCACTGGCGAGGGTCACTGGGACGCTGGGAGGCTTACTAGGACGCTGGCGAGGGTGAACTGGGACGCTGGCGAGGGTCACTGGGACGCTGGAGAGGGTGAACTGGGACGCTGGCGAGGACGCTGGAGGAGGCACTGGGACGCTGGCGAGGTGAACTGGGACGCTGGCGAGGCTGACTGGGACGCTGGCGAGGGTGAACTGGGACGCTGGCGAGGGTGAACTGGGACGCTGGCGAGGCTGACTGGGACGCTGGCGAGGCTGGCAGGAGTGACTGGGGCGCTGGCGAGGGACGCTTGATCGGTCACAAGGAGACGATAACATCAACTAATGTGAGCCGCTTCATCTTCCTTCTAGTGATAATTATACTAATTTTCCACTAAAGGAATTCAAATTAAGCTTAATTCTGCGTGTGTGTGTGTGTGTGTGTGATAATACGTACATGAGTGGCTTATGACCGTCCCCCACACACACACATGAGAGACTCTAAGATCAAGAACACATTATGTAACATTTTGTCATATATTTATGTAGTTTTATGTAGAATCAATTACATAATCATCCGAAATTCATTAATAAATCAGTATACTTTTTATATGCAGTTAATTTTGTTAATATTTTGTACAATTTCTGTCTTAAAATTATTATTTTGTTCTAATATATTCTGTGGTTTTTCTTTCATAAATAAATCTTACGGTCATGAACAAAATCTTACGGTTCATGAACAAAAACTTCCGTCTCTTTAAGTTCTCACAACAGTAAGAGATCACTCATAACACCTCACAAGCTCTCATAATGATTCAAGAGAACTCACAAATTCTCACAACAATCAAAAACCTCTTCACAATCTCTCACAGCTTCTCACAATTTCTAATTATCTCACAATTTATCGTAAGGTCTCTTGGTCCTTGAGCATCCTGTAGGAGGGACAAAGGTGAGCATTCTGTAGGAGGACCAGAGGTGAGTATCCTGTAGGAGGACCAGAGATGGGCATCCTGTAGGAGGGACAAAGGGTAGGAGTATCCTGTAGTAGGCCCTGGGGTGAGTATCCTATAGGAGGAACAGTTGTGTGAGCATCCTGTAGTAGGACCAGAGGTGAGTATCCTGTAGTAGGACCAGAGGTGAGTATCCTGTAGGAGGCCCAGGGGTGAGTATCTGTAGGAGGCCCAGGGGTGAGTATCTGTAGGAGGCCCAGGGGTGAGTATCCTGTAGGAGGCCCAGGGCTGGTAGGACAGAGGGTGGGGTATCCTGTAGTAGGCCCTGGGGTGAGTATCCTGTAGGAGGCCCAGGGGTGAGGATATCCTGTAGGAGGCCCAGGGGTGAGTATCCTGTAGGAGGGACAAAGGTGAGCATTCTGTAGGAGGACCAGAGGTGAGCATCCTATAGGAGGACCAGAGGTGAGTATCCTGTAGTAGGACCAGAGGTGAGTATCCTGTAGTAGGACCAGAGGTGTGAGTATCCTGTAGGAGGCCCAGGGTGAGTATCCTGTAGGAGGCCCAGGGGTGAGTATCTGTGGAGAGCCCAGGGTGAGTATCTGTAGGAGGCCCAGGGTGAGTATCCTGTAGGAGGATCAGGAGGGCGAGTGTATCATGAAAGGTCCTCACACACACACACCACACATAACACGCCTCTCTGGGTGGCTTCACACGCGAGCTGCTTCACCCAACATCAGGCGCGTCTCTCTCTCTCTCTCTCTCTCTCTCTCTCTCTCTCTCTCTCATTTATCTACCTTCTCCACGTATCGCCGTTCTGTTAAGGTCTGTAAGCAATAGTGTTACAATCATCACCATCACTACCATCACCATCACTAACATCACCATCATCATCATCATCATCACCATCATCATCATCATCATCCCTCTCACTCCTTCCTAACACCACCAAAACCTTCCTTCCTTCCTTCCTTCCCTTCTCCCCTTCCATCCCCTTCCTTCTCCCTTCCTAATCCCCATTCCTCTATTCTTCACATCTCTTTCTCCTCCCTCTTCATCCCCGTCCCACCTCTTACCCA